TCCAATGAGGCTTTCATCAGTAGAGAAGCATTGGTGTTATTTTAAGAATGCAAGCATTTAACTATTTTAAATTTAAATTAGCAAAGAGAAAAGATGCTGAAAATGATTAGCCTGGCCTGCCAGACTCCTCCTCCGTTTAATTCTGCACAGAGAAAGGATCTGGGAACTCTCCGATTCAAATAACCCCGCCCCCTGAGAATTCTAACCGAGCCAATCAGCGCTGAGTAGCGTACGTCACACACCATAACGCAGAGTTTGTCATAAGCATGGTGACTGAAGTAGAGTTTTCTGCGGCTCTTTCCTCTGTTCTACATGGCTTGTTTGTCTTTTAAACCACAACAAGTAGAAGCGCTAAAAGCATTTCTTCTAAAAAAAAAAAAGGATGTTTGCGCCGATGCCAGACGCCTTTTTTTTTTACTACAGCTAAAAAACTACAACGTAGCGTGGTACAGTCGGCATTTCCGTCTTTTTTCTGGTTGGTTGTTTTTGAGCTGCCTAGTCCCGCCCTCTCTGCTTGTGAGTTACTAGACTAGTGCCCTGTCCACACGTAGCCGGGGATCTGCCAACACGTAGATATTTTTCTACGTTTTGGCCTGTCATCCACACGAAAACGGAGTTTTTTCACACAAAAACAGATCTTTTTAAAAACTCCGGCCAAAGTGAAGATCTGCGTTTTCTCCGTTTTGGGTGTCTGCGTGTGGACGGACAAAACCGGAGTTTTAAGGTCCGCAACGTCACTTTCCGCCACAAAAAAAATGCTGACATCACGTGTGCGACCTGTGTTTACACTAGCCGACAGCATGGATGCCCTCAGAGCTGCGCTCGCTTTATCAATGGTCCAAGCGCTTTCTGCTTGTTTGTTTTTGCAAGAGGAATTACTGCTGCTTGCAGAAGACCACAGACGAAGGACGAGGTTAAGAACGGGGGAAGTACTGCCGCCTACAGGTCTGGCATGTCCTTCACAACGTATTTATCCGGGTACGTGTGGACAGAGTTTTGTTTTAAAACGAGGTGGTGTGGATGCAAGTTTTTGGAGGAGCGGATATTCGTTTTTAAAAAGACCCGGCTACGTGTGGACTAGTTCTCTGTGCAGAATTAAACAGGACGAGTCTGGCAGGCCAGGCTAGAAAATGAAGCAAAGTCAGACGTGGAGGTGATTTTGGTCTCAGTAAATGTGTTGCACTATCACTCAGTATATCAGTCAGAAGAGAGAGGAGGACTGGAGAGTCAAAGGTCAAAGCAGTGCTTTGGGAGGTGGCCCTTCCATTTTTACCCCCACTGTGGACATGTACTGTCTCCTAAACAAGGGGTGCATTGTATGGCCTTCTTTAATGGTGGCGCCAAGTCTATAGGAGCAAGGGTGTCGCCTCTCTGTGGGATCAACATCTGAAGCCTATTTATCAATCAAGGATCAGATGATAAATGAAGCTCTCCCACCAGTCAGCTTCATTCACAGCTGAGTGGAGAACTTGTTTTTTCAGATGTGGACAACACCAAAAGTTAAGGAACCTCTTGTTTGCAAATATACATCATGTCATCATAAATAGTACGACGGTTTCCACGCGGAGGCCTACCTCTGACAGCACGGGTGTAAAAAGCATAGAGTGTTCTCCTTCCGTCAGCATCAACCAGCCATGAACAGGCCTTGGAAAAGGAAGCAGCATCTGGCAGGGATGAGTGGGCAGAGAGCCGCAGAGCTCCCAGCTTCCATCCATGAGGTCATGGTTGACTGCAGGCCCAGGCTAGACCTCATGGGGTCCAACATAGGTTCAGGACCCTCAAGAGTGAGACAGGGTTAGCACAGAAAGGACAAAGCTCCAAATAAGAAAGAAATCACTGTTTTATATCTGTAAATGTCCAAAAGGACTCGTTTAAATTTTACACCTTGGTTGCAGAAAAAGGAGGAACTCATGCAGAACTTTGCCTTTAACTTATGGCGTTCACACAGATCTCCAGTCACAACAGAAGAAAAGCTTTTGTTGATCACACAGCTTTAGTTTGATGAGGGTGGATTTAGACACAGTGGCTCTGCTAGACGCAAAAACATTTTTTTACACTGACTTGACTGATTTGAGAGCCGTCCAAGGAGGTTCTGACATCGTCTCTGCATTTATGAAGGAAACTTTTCCCTGCACAATGACTGGGGCAGAATGAGACACAAGCTGCTTCTTTTGGAATAACTTTTCCGTACGAGACGGCCATAACCCACATTCTAACGCTCCAGAAAAAACCCAGAGAGGGAAGATGTTTGCAGGCTGCTTTAATTCTTCACAGCCGCTCAGCTCAGGCATCTGAAGCTCTTCAGGGCAACGACATTGGAGAAGTGTAGCATCCTCCCTGCTCCTCCCCTCTAGCAAATGTGTGTGTGTGTGTGTGGTCCCCTGCTGCTGGCCCTGCAGATCCAGGTTTTAGAGGTCAGGAGGTCACTGCTGGGTACTGGAATGTTTACGTTGTCTGCTCCCGTTACCGCGGATATCTGGACTGCTGCGCCACGCTCTCCAGGAGGAGTAAGACATTCTTATCTTAGAAAATATGAAGAAAAAAGTTACATGTCTGATAAGTATTTAGCTTCACTGCTTGCTATTTGACGGATGTAAATACGACAAAGAAAAAAAGCTACATTAGACTGATAAAGTTCATATTTGTGCAGAAAAATCTAACAAATTAAACAATTCGTCACTCACAAGTTGTTATTTTAAACTTTATCTTGGTGCGGTTAACTCTGCACATCCCTTGTGAGCAGGCCCTTGAGCATTTACTTGGTCTGACATTCAAATATCAAAGCATGGGAAAGCGTGTCTGAACAGTATCCAGTTTTATTCTTCCTGCTGCCCACCACAATCACACAGTCGCTGATTTTTGACCTTGGAATCCATGTTTGAGCGGCGTGCCAGCAAACAACACCACACGCCACGCCCACCTCCATCTTGCCCCCCTCCCCTTTTGCAAAACTGCATATGAGAAATGTCTGTTTGTTCATGACCCACATTTTAAAAGAGTTGCGAAAGTCTGCAAAAGAAATATTACTGTACCCCGTTGGTGATGGTCTATGCATTATTCAGGGGGCTCACAGACCTAAATGTGTGTGCGGAAGAAGGTGCAAACCCAAAGGGCAGTATATATGAACATTTTTGTAATTCGTTCCTTTCCTCCCCATCCCCCAATTTTACTTCCCCTCTCTGTTTTAACCCCCACCCCGCCGTCTCCTCCTCCACCAGCAGGTTGTTTAATACTTTCCAGATTTCAGCATGCCTTCAACCTCCTGGAAGAGGTACAAGTCTGCTGATGGAATTTGGCGGAAAAAGGTTGTGGGTCCAAACGAGGGCTTCTACTTGTAAAAACCAAGACACCGAGCGCCTCCCATCGGTGGAGAGGAAAAAAGGACAAGCGAAGCCCGAAGGCAATGGCATTTGACAGCCTGAGAAGCAGATGAGTCGATGGTTTGAGCAGGAGAAACAGCTGCAAGGCAAGACTCAGATTGCAATGGATTTGTTTGAAGGTGTTTGTGTGTGAGTGTGTGTTCTTGTACTTACTACATAGGAAGGACCATTTTCCCTACAAAGTGAGGACATTTTTTGGTCCTCACTTTTTTTCAAAGGCATGATGTGATTTAAGTTTTAGTTAAGTTCAGGGTTAGGAGTAGATTGGTTAGGGTTAGGGTTAAGCATGGTGGAGTCACAAAAATGAACAGAAGTCAATAGAGTCCTCACTATGATAGAAAGATAGACACGTGTGTGTGTGTGTGTGTGTGTGTGTGTGTGTGTGTGTGTGTTCTGGAACAAAGTCTTACTGTTTGGGTAAGTGGGACCATTATGGTCACATTATGTTCAAGAAAATTTCATTTAAATTTAGAAACTGATCATTTTTGGCCTTAAAAACATTTAATATCAAAGTTAGTGAAGTAGTTAGAACTCGTCATGGCAAAGGAAATGCTCTGGTGAGAGATGGGAAATATCCTCATGGTGGACTGGAGTGCATGGTAAATGGGCCATGAGCCCCTCTTTGTGGCCCCCGGTTAACCCCCACACACCCAATAGCAGCTCAGTTCTACCCACAACCACTAGATGGCAGTAAATGACAAGTTTTCAGTAAAGGGTGGTAGCACGCCAGACAGATATGTAATTCAATTACAAGAAATGACTAAAAACCAGAACTTCTGGAATCAAATACTAAAGTGAGGCCGATTGAGGATTTAGTCTTCCCTCCTCAAAGAGACAAACATAAATCCAGCAATCTATTAGAAGAATACTGATGTGATGCAGGCAGAGAAAATGGGGATCAATAACTCCACTGGCTTGTATTGACCACATCAATCAATATAAATGGCCTGTTTTACCACAAGTGTAAGAATAATGACTTTTTCCAGCCCTCTGGCAGGTTGAACACTGAAATACTGTGACTATGACAATGTGAAAGAGATTTAAGATTCCTCTAACACAAAATGAAAGCCTGCATCAACCATCCAGCAGCTTTCTGGTGGGGGTAACACGACGAACACCTTGATCTGTCTGCAGCGGTGTTAACAAAACACAATGCTGCGAACTTGAACCAAAGCAGGAGGAGCGGGAAAAGCCAAAGGATGGTGGGGAAAATCCAAAGTGACAGAACAGCTTTGAGTCCATGATGATGAGCAGGCCCGTGGTCTGAGACTCATCCGTCTTCCACCCAGCAGGGTGAGAGGAATTACCCGTCATCCATGCTTACCAGGGCAGCTTTTGTAGGCCAGGAGCATCCATCTCCAACCGACAGCTGCTTCATAACGAGGAGTCTTCACACATTTCATCACATTGTTTTCAGACTGTACACTTAAAAGTGCATCCCCCTAAACTCACTAAGGTCTCTATTGCTTCCTTCCTTCCTTCCTTCCTCCCCTGGGAGAGCCACAGAAAGGAGGCAGGAAACGAAGGCGGCACTCCAGGAATTCCTTTAGTAAAGTTGCTGAGTGAGTTCAAGCAGTGCAACAATCATCCTGATGCACAAAACTACAAATAAAAACAAGATAATTGTAAGTCTTTTATTGAAAAATATAGGTTCATTTTACAAATACAGAAAAAAACGCAGATACACAAAAACAGTAAGGCATTCTAAACACACGAGGATCACCCAAAGGTTTGACGGCTACCTGATTAAACCGTGTAGTGTGTCAGTGACGCATATCCAGCTACACAAACGCTCTCCTGACTGGTTCTTTTAAACCGTTGAGCCAAAATATTCAGTTTCATTTAACAGCAATTAAAATAAAGACAAAAGCGTGACAACTATTCGACAGGCTCTCTTCTAAAGTGGTTTTCACAAGTTAAAATGACTTTTGGCAAGAAAATGATAATTTGGCACATCTGTCAGTTTCAGTTAAGGCAGTGAAATCAATCAGCACACGTAAGCCTCGTGGATTTAATGATGCAAGAGGCAGAGTCGAGCTGCAATGACGGTGCAACTTGTACAAAAAACAGAAATCCTTCCTTAATTCTCTTGCATCTAATGCTGGATGTGGCCTCATCTTGATCCCTGCTTCACACACACAAGCACACACACTTTTTAAGATAAAAACATTAGTCAAACAACAAATATTAATAGTTTACCTGCCAACACACACACTCTCTCTCTACAGCCCTGCTCATATGTAGTGAAAATCACGTTTTCTGGTCTAGCTAAGATGTTGCAGCCAAAGACAAAAAGGGAAGGAAGTGGTTAAAGACGGTTCTTCTGTTCCAATATGAGAAACAAGCAGAAGTCATGGAGTCGGTCTGTGTAAATCACTTAGATTAGAACGCAGACTGACCACAGGTTAGTAATCCATTCACCTGTTCTGCTGTCATAACACCGACACTGAGCCAGATGCACCACCTCTAACAAAGCTGAAATCCAGTAAAACGATAACAGATCAGAACGTCTGGGTTTAGTTTTGGGAAATGGCGACCTATGGGCGTTGCCATGGAAACCCTGAGTAACAAGTCAGAAAAAGAGAGGAGAGCCAGATAGGTCTGTGATAATATTGTCTGATGAAAGGGCCTCACACTCTCTCCACAGCGAGAGCACACCCACTGGAGACGTGCCTGTGGCTGGGCCTTCTGTGCGGCTCGGGCCGCATGACGCCCCACAGCTGGTGTGAAACCCCAACCCTAACCCAAACGAAGAACAGGAGAAAAATGCTGAGCCGGGCATTAGTTACATGTTCTTCTTTGCTAAAGTTGGTTTTTAACCAGCAGATTCTGTTCATTTCTGGAATGTTGCTCAGAAAGTGTCGTCCAATTCATTTCACTTGCCTCAATGTTCACAGACGCAAGCAGGGTGCTTTCTAAAGGAGTTCCCACACCAGAGTCCCATCTTCTCCCCAAGAGCAGCCCACTACAGAGTCTGAAATCAGTGAAAACGGACACAAATTCCCTCTAGAACCCAACTGTTTATACGTGAATCTCATCATCTTCATCTTCCAAGAAGGAGGAGAAGTTGCTCTCCTCTTCTGGGGGAGCGCTGAACGTGGCACTGTCTGCATCTCCAATGTAGCAGTGAATGCTCGGTTTCTCATCCAAAGCAGCAGAACCGGAACTGGACATGGAGCAGCTGTCCAGGTGCTGCAGGTGCTTGGCTCGGATCTCTGGAGTGTGAGGCCCTCCATCTTCAGCCCTCAGATCGATGGAGCAGGCCTGCTGCAGACCTCCTGCATCGTTGTTTAGCTTCACCTGCTGGTGCCCTTCCTCAGTAGTTTCCCCCTCTACACCATCTTCTTCCTCACTGTGGGTGCTGATGGCTGGTGAGGCATGGCCCTCACTGTTCTTGCCTTCCTCATAGCCAAGATCATCCTCCTCCTTCACCATCACATCCAAGATGTCATCCAGCATTGATGGTCCCAGGTCAACATGGAACGACATGACAGACTCGGCATGCTTCATTCCCCCTCCGTAGTGAGTGGAGCTCTCCGGCAGCTCTGTCAGTTCACCGAAGCTCTGCTCCTGCACCTCCAGGAAGTTTGTGGCTGCAGCTGCACCGTCCAGTTCCCCGTGTTGCTTAAACGGACTGGATGTCAAGCTCTTGGAAACTGCGCCATCTCCTCGGTTTTCATCATTGAGAAAGGGCAGGGACATGGCATTTTTGACTAAAGTGGGCGATCCTCCAGGAACCATCAGGCCGTTTTCTCCCTGTTGGTCCACTCTGGTCACTGACTGGGAGCGCTTGCTGCTCCTGAAGGTACGCGACAAGAGACCAGGCCGAGGAGACCGAGGAAAGGATGTGGTCTCAGGTGATGCCTCCCCGGAGCGTGTGCTTAGAAAGGACGTATCTCCAAAGGCATCACCACTGCGGCCTACATGCATGGTGTGGCGAAAGTCTCCTAGAGGGGCACTAATCATCTCTCTGGTCAGGTCCATACGAGAGCGACGCTTAGCTGGAGCAGAGGACACCAGCTGTTTTAGGATAGGCATGATGGCTGATCAGACGTAGCGGTAGTCCACAATAGGTGTGAGCTCCTTGGAAGGAATACTAACGCTCTTGAACTGCAGTCAGCTTGGGAACCTGAAAATAAATAACAATAAATTACACAGAGTTCAGAGAGTGTAAGTAAAAGCAGTAAAACGTATCTAAAGCGTCACATTAGGTTGCTAATTTCTTTTAACCCATAAAAAGGACTTCCAGGAATTCCAAATGTTCCATGAACTGCAAGAGTCGAAGCACTGAGGCAGCTCTTCCATGATCAGCAGGGTCTTCCCTTCATCTGAGAATCAGCCAATCAAATGCACCAAAAACATTTAGAGGAGCACCGCAGAATTGTGCTTGGGAACAGTGTGATGCATGAGGGACGGAAAACTCAAACAGGAATTTTGGCAGCACACCAAGTCGATTTGAGCCAATAAAAATGTGCTGTTATGGACAAATGTTTATGCAGTCTCCACAGATAGATTAGATGTCAAAAAAATAGGCGTTAAACTATATTTTATAATTACATAAAGCTCAATCTATAGAACTTGACATTAACAATCTTCGATGAAGTCCTAAGGGGACTAGATCATGCTAAACAATCATTTGGAGCTTTGACCATGTAGGACTTTTGGCTTCATGCATCCATTTTCCTGTCTCGGCTGCTTCTTCCACTCAGCTCTGGTAAACTATTACAAATGGCTGAATGGGACTGTTGGCATCATCTCGCCCCACTCCTCCCCATCCAGGTAGTGTCCAGATCCCTCTTCCACTGGACTGTAAACACTAACACCCAGTAGCGGCTAGTCCACAGGAGAGCTTTTGGGTGCTGAGGTACAGCGTCGGTGAAGGAGACCAGCAGGGCAGAGTCTCAGCTCAGGTCAGAACAGAACTGGAAGTTCTCCACAGTTCACCATCCTTTGTTGTTGTAGAGCAGCTGAGTTCATCTCGTGGAGTTTAGTTATTATGAAGAACTGGAAAATGATGACTTATAAACACTCCTGCATGTAAAAAAGTGGATTACTTTTACTATAACACAGATTATTACAACCTTAAACCAGCAAAGGTAAGACTGAGTTAATGCTTTTACTTCATGAAATGAGCTCTGTTTGTTTTTAATGCTGAATGTGCAAATATTGGTGAACATTAAGCACGTTTTTGGAACACTTTTGTTATTACCGGTCTGTTGGTGTGAAGCACAAGAATGGTGATTTGGCATTCCCTGGTGGTGATACGTGGAAAGTGCATATGAAATCAGCCCAGTCGTCACAACTGCAAAATTCAGACTTAATTATTAGAATTATGAGCAATGAGACTATTTCCATTACATTCTTAACGTAAACACTTTTCTAATCAGTGCTTCTCCTGAAAAACTTGCTTTTGACTACAAATATGATGAAATAATGATTCAATGATAACGTTTGACACATTTTATTTAAAGTAAGGGTCAATGCATCGGTGGAGACGTATTTCATCCACACTTGCTGTTAGGAAAACGCTTCTGAAAGAGGCGTCTCCTGGCGGACCGAGAAAGCGGCACTGAGGCAGTGATAGACTTTGGTGACAACGTCACGTTTTTCAGCTTAGCCATCAGCCACAGCTGGTTCTACGTAAATGTGGAGCGGAGTTTTAACCTGAAGATGGAGAATAGAATTATGGTTTTGGGCAGAATTATTACATTTAAAGTAAGTTGCACTAAGCTGCCACACTAATGATTACATATGTGTACGGCACCATTAGACACTCATCTGTACAGGTTATCAGCAAAAACAAGTAAATTTAGGTGTTACTTGCTCTTTAATTAGTATTTTTATACAAAAAAAATTTTTCTGAATGCTTGAAATAATTTGCGGTTGGTTTAAAACACCAGGAATGTGACTCAAAATTAGAATTATTTTAAAGATGTATTTTGTTTTCAGCCATTTCTTTTATTTAGCTGTCCATAAATCACCATTTTGTAAGGAAGCAAATGGACAAGATCAGCGACCTGACCTGTATTGGAATGTTTACCATGTGAAGTGCCTTGAGACGATTCGTCATGATTTTACGCTTTATAAATAAACTTGAATTGAATAAGAAACATGTTAATAGTACATATTTATTTAAAAACTATTATTTATATAAATAATATTTATATTATTATTTGCAAACAGATAACAGTGATCAACGGGGGAGGGCTGTCCTCTTGCCCTCCTGTCAGAAGCTGGGGTGGGGCGTGGCATCATGTGTCAGGGGTCTATAGTACAAACGGTAATATTTAAATCATTTATGAGCCCATCCTTGCTCTGGATTTCAGTTACTTTAAGTTAAAGCGGTTTCATTTAATGGGGCAACAGTAAAACACACAAGTTCTAAAATGAATTCAATTCTATTTTATTTGTGCGGAAGACTCAAGTAGGGTTGTCACGGTAACCGGTGTAGTGGTAAACCCCGGTAAAAAAGTTGACAATAATAATAACCATCTTGTTTTAAAAAAAACTATATTATCTCGGTGGGTTACCGTGGCTGCGGTGTAGGCGCGGTGACCCTTACCAGCCACCGTATCATCTGCTGAAGTTGCCAGCGGCACATGCGCACTTTGTTGTTTACAACCAAAACTTTCTTGAAGCTAAAGCTGAAATAATGGCCAAAGGAGGAGACGGCAGCGCTCAGGACATTCATTATCCCTCAAAGAAGACAAAGTCGGAATTACGGGCATCTTTTGGATATGTGAAGAATGCCGAGGGACAGCTGATAGAAGACGGCTATCCTGTTTGCAGCACGTGCAGAAAAAGTGTCTGTGAAAGGCAGCAACGCTTCAAATCTCATGACACATCTGCGTGACCATCACCCACAACGCTACAGTCAACGCAAGGCAAGCTAACGTTAGCGCTTTAGCTAAAATGTGTGATCCGAGGATTTCGGTTGAGGGAGAATGCAACGAGTCGCTATATAAAGCAGCCGCAGCGCCGCTACCTGCATATAAACCGTGTCGCGGACACCGCCATGTTGAAATGACGCTATGCATTACGGGGCTCCCAGGGGCAGATAAGGGTTGGTCTCTCTCCGAGAATAATTATGAATTTAACAACGATTACTGCCTGATGACATTTTCCCACATCTGCAAAGCTCACTGGAAGGACACAAACCGAGGACGATATTTTCCTGATATAGGGTTTATTACTCAAGTAAGGGTAAAAAAGTATCTGATTAGAAGGCTACTTGAGTACTGAGTATCATCTGATCTAATATTTTTAAAATGATGACATCAAACAGACAAAAAATAAGTTATGGGCAAATGTTGGTATTTTAAAGACGAAAGGGGAAAAATGTAAACAAATAAAAATAATTACAAAATAACACATTTTAGGCAAAATTTAGACACAAACTGAGGACAATATTTCCTGACATACAGGGTTTATTTAATTGTGTGAAAATGTAGCACGTTTAAAAAAAATACCGCGATAATACCGAAAACCGTGATAATTTTGGTCACAATAACCGTGAGGTTAAAATTTCACACCGTGACAACCCTAGACTCGAGTCAAGGCCTCTTACTTTTTGTAAGTGATCTTGACTGAAGAAACTCTCAAATCACTTGGAGTCATTTCCTTAACACCTGGGGCAGTGGGAAAGTTCAAGGAGCTCCGATCCTCAGTTCAAACACTTCTACAGTCAACAAGTTATCAGGTGTTCTAAAAGGAGAAGGGGAAGCTCTGTAATCTTCACCCATGTGAAAAGGTCCGATCTGAAGATGTAAAACCGCAAGTGTCACATCAGGGATAAAGAGCGCGCGGGGGGAGGGGGGCAATGAATCCTTCCCAAAAATAATCACCTGGTTGCAAACCTAAAACTGTGACTGGTGAGATCAGACAAAGACTTACTCAACAACAGCATGTTCAGCAGATGACACGTCTGACCAACAAAACACGAGTTGATAACAAGTGTCACTTCTGGGCTGCCCGTGTGACCTGGTGGTTTTTTTTAAAGTAGGTCAAAGAGGAACGTCAGAATTGTTGTCCAAAACCTCACACCAATACGAAGACCTATTTCTACATTTCAACACAATATCTGTAAAACAAAACTGATGGTAGTGTTAAAGATGGCAAATACCACCGAATGCCTAAAATACATGTTCATAGTGAACGTCTGTAATGAGCCTAAAGAACCAAAACGGTCAAAAAAATTAAACTGTGCCAACTTACAATACGAATGAATTATTAAAACGTGCGAAGGATTGAGATCAAGCAGAAGATACATTCCCTAGCCATGGTCTTCTGACAGGAAAGGGCTTAAACCCCTACGGGTTGGAGTGACAGCAAAGTGTTAATACAATATTAAAAGGCCAGACAGAGGAAATCTCACCACAGGCAGCAAGTCAGACAACATTACCTCCTCCTCTCTTCAGGTGGCACACTGAAGGGCCAGGGCAGGGTGTCTCATTAACTACCCAACCCAGCACGGCCGTGGTGGGTCGTGGGCCATGGTGGTCAAATGAAAGCATTTTCCACACAAAAAGCATGGCCGACTCCAGGAGACAACTCCATGCTAATAAAAAAGCAGGCTAAAGAAAACGCTTTCCATGCCGTCTTCACTAGGCACCTCTCCGTCTTGCACATTAATTGCATTTTTAACTGCTGCTTACACAGAAGCGATCAACTTAACATTGACTTTGGATTCCCACTAAACAAGCTTTCAGAAGAAGCAGAGCGTTGTTCTCGTCAGAAGTCAACGGAAGGACTCAACTGTTAAATATGGCATTGACCTCTTTCTTATGTCTCCCTCCCCCACTCCCTCTACTTCACCAGCTGAACCTCTGCTCCTCTTCCTGTTCACCTGCTTTGGTTCCCATAGAAACAATCTGCTGCAAGCAACAGCATTTCCTGCCATAGCGACTGCAGAAAGCTTCAGGTCTACTCATCATGCCAGCGTGCCAAACATGGCTTTCGGTCAGCCATTTATTCACTCGCTCCTTTAGGGGGTTTGTTTTCTTAGCCGTGGGGGGAATAAGTAAAACACAGAAACGTCCCTGTGGTACAGAGAAAACAGGAAAGTGTGTGAAAGAGTGTCACATTTTCTCACGCTACATGCTTTCCTAAAACTTTAGGCAGCTTTAGCAA